TTAGCACCTCATGATCATATTCCTTAGTTAGCCAAAACTAGTCAGGTAGCTGTGAGAGTTGGTGACCAATTACCAGCAGCACTCCAGTAATCAATACACCAGCAACCTACCCAAGGAGCTCGAAAGAGCTCGCAAACGAGTGATTTAGCCACACTGCTGCAATACTTTGCACCGTGTGATAAGTGAAACGCTTCGGTTTCCTCGAGGCAGTTGTTCTACTTGACTATCCCCTGCTAAGTAAGGGTATTTGGTCAGAAAACACGGACAGGAGTCATTGCACAACGGATCTTCCATTGACTATGTTTCACTTTGTTCGCTCTCCATCAGTATGGGCATATATTACCATTTCACCAACAATATTCCTCTGCGTTGTTCGCATTCGCGTGCTCGCTTATTAGCGTCTAATGTTGCTGGATTTGTCCGTTCTCATTGATTTGTGTTGCGAAACATTTTTATTTTTCTACCGTTTCTCTTGACATGTCCATTACGATGGTTTTGAAAACTATACAAGATCTTGTAAAACTTAAAAGAACCTAACACTTCCTGTTGTCATACCTGACTGTGTAAACATTAAGCAACGCATTTGCAGCTCGGGGGCTTGATTTGGTGCAAACAAGCCTCACAGAATCATCGTGATGATTATGTGCTAGGCGTTATGGGTTAGATGCATCTAATATAAACCAACTCTACACCCGGGTTAATTTTCATTGTTTTGATAATGAATAGTCTATGAATGACTAGAAAAAATCCTATTAAGCGCACAACTGGTGTGTAAACATGTTGTGTTCTGTCGAATAAAGGTAGTATTTTGGTTCGTTCCACAGATTTTTATCTCGGTATTAAACTGTTAGTGATTTGACGTACACACTTTGAGTCACACTGATCGGGCATAGAGGAGAAAATGTAATCATACAAGTAATTTCTTTCGCCTACTGAGTGGTGATGATCAAGCAACTTCGGTCACTGTCCTTGGTGTGCGCCAGGATTCGATCCCTGCCACTGCCATTCAGTTTTGGTGGTGGACAGATTCCCTTTCATTTGACTCAGTATCACGGTTATCCTGTTTATGCCTTATCTGGTTCGCTACTCCCAATTCCAGTGATTCGATCTCCCATTCACACTTAGGATATGTTGTGCGCTTAGTCGAAATCACGGTATGACTTTTATCACACTGAAGTGTCTGTGCCATAGAAGTGTAACTGATTTCACACATCGATGAGGTTCTTAAGGAACTCTTGAGTGATTGTCTAATGCAGCCTAGGTTTATATTCGTTTCGTCACATATGACAGTTTGGTACGTGAAACAAATTTCCAAATCATGAAAATCTGTCGTAAACATGGTGTGGGAGTGAAGACTCAGCTAACTTCGTATCGTCTGGTGCCCGATTGGGATAGATGTTTTAAATCGGACCACGACAAACGGGTTGCCAATTTGGACTGGACTGGTGGTAACAGCTTGCGAATGATTGGGACAACTGTTCAATAAATGTGACATTCCTAATCAATCGTTCCCCATTACTCTCAATTGTTTTTTCCAGCTGCCAGTCATCAAATGGCACGGGAATTATACGCTTTGTGATAGATGTTTCAATTCACGCAAACGTCCCACAGCTATTTGTCCGGTTTGTGAACGTGCTTGGCGTTGCTCGCTTCCTGTAAGTAAATTAATTGTCCGTGGGTTAAGAGTTCAAGTACAGCTCTTATGGCATGGTGACAACAGTTTCGTTTAAGTGCCATTTTTATGTCTTGCTGTATTATACATGTGATTTCTTTATATGTAGTTTTTTGTGATATCTAGATTAGAAGGTTTCCTATTTTCTATTGTACATTTTCATGATGAACAGCAAACAGGGCAAAACCCAGACTCAAGAAGTTCAAGTATTCAGTAATGGAAACCGGTAAACAAAACCCTGGTACTTGGAGTGGCGAACCACATACGGCCCCACTCGGTTTGGCGTGGTACGGTACCGCATATTACTGTTTGATTATCATCGTCATCATCATCATCATCATCATCATCATCACCATCATCATCGTACAGCGAAGTACAGTGAGACAAACTTCACTGATCGCTGCCAAACTCACAATGGATTCAAGGTTAGTGGTAAAATTAAGGTGGACAGGGATTGGACTCATATTGAGAGAAGGGGACGAAGGTGAACCCCTATGGTCAACACACCATGAAATTTTAATATACACCTCTATAATCAATAACCGAAAAAGAGAGTAGAAACATTAAAAAACTTAGGTAGATGTAGTTTTTATATCCCTTTAACAGACTCAGGCATGCCATTCTGATTCATTTTGGAACAACTACTACTCCCAAACACCCCACTGCGCAATTATTATGTGTATTTTGATCATTAGCCTTGAGCAGGCAAGGTGTCATGCAACGCCGAGTTAAGAAAGATGAGCACAAGGGAGGGGAGGCAGATTTCAATGCTTTTGTTGGTATCCATTGCGTCAGTGTTGTGGGTCGCTCATACCAGGGTGGGTGGTGGTGGTCCAGTGGTTTAGTCGCTGTTACAAGCGTACTTTGGACCGAAGTTCGAGCCCCGCCACCGCCACCCAGCTTTGGAGCTAGGCAGCTTTGCTGTCGTCCGGTGCAATACCACACCTAACCNCTAACCTATCGGGGCCTTGTGTGGTTCGCCACCCCAAGTCCCAGGGATTAGATTACCGGTTTCCAAGAATGAACAGCGGGTCCTCGTGACTATGGGGTTCGCCCCGTCTGCTGTTCATCACACGAAAGTGTGTAATAAAAAAGGCGAGTTGATTCGACTGACCGTCCCCTTCGACGGATTAACCCATCCCACAAAGCTGTGTATGCATATGTGCGGTGGTGTAGTACGTTTCGATCTGCTTATTTGCCTTTGGAGTGTGTAGTAGACGGAGCTGTCTTCCTTTTTGTTCCTTTTCTTACAGTGTATTTCAATAGATCAAAAACCGATTGCTCCTACGGAATTTCTTATTTTCCAAGATGCGCGATTGTTGTTGATCTTGTGTACAACCATTAGAATCAGTCATTTACGTACATAATGGGTTTTGATGTACATTGTACGTTGCAGGTTTTTTCAAAAGCGCCTTTGAACTTTAAAGTTAATAATCCCAAAGGAGTTGCTGCGATTTGTTTAGCATTAAATTTTTTAATCATCTGATCAAAAATGTGTTCTTTTTCTTTCCAAGGTGCCCAATTATCTGGCCAGTTCGTTGTCCGGTTCTCCGTCTGCACTCACCTGGCCCGGGAAGCGGTGTACCAAATGCCGTCGAATGGTTCACGCAGATTGTGACCCATCTCAGTCTGTTGGTCCTTCAACAGGTTCTCCATCTTCCACCCCTAGCGAGGATGCGAATTCGTCAAGCGGTTCTGGTTACGTTTGTGTGATCTGCCGTGTGCGTGGATCCGCCACTCCGAGCGAGGTATGGTCTCTTCCCTTGTTACCTTGAATTATGTTTATTTTACTGAGTTGAACAACCAATGCCGTTCTTCCTCATTAGCGTTCTCATTTAGCGTCCACTAGGACCAATGACCGCAGGTTGCATATTTATGCGCACGCCCATACTCGCACAATTTCTTGCTGCCTCAGCTACGCACAAATGCATCCTTGTGCTGATATTTTTTCTTTTTTTCACACACGCCTGAGTTTAGGCTGTGCCAGACAAATCACGGTACAATAATCTTTATAAAGAAGTAAAAAGGGCCATGATTTGCTTGATACTACTAGATTCCCCTGGCCAAGGCGGATGAATTTTCCTAGGGAATTCACAACCGGAGCCTTTGGCTATCCAAAGCCTGACCTGCAGGACAGCGGGGCAATCTGTTAGTGGGTTAGTTTCTAGTTCATCGGATCATGCGCCCTTTGCACCGGATCAAACGTCCAAGTTACTCAACACACCTCCATGCCCAACCGAGTCGGTGACCACTATCACGATCAAAAAGGTGTGCCTGGTTCATACACTTCTTGGTTGGTTTGGAATCAGGGTTTTGGCCAATTCCCCTAGGTGCACTGCCAGTAGTTCACCGACCCGGTTATATCTCCGGATGTTGGCTTTTCCTCTTCTCACTTTGGTGGAAAAATACCTTCACCACGAGAAGGCAGTGAGTAGAGCTTCCTCAACAGAGGCTATTTAAGATGCTTGGTTGTATGGGAGCATTTCGCGAGGTGCAAGGAAAAGGTGACAAACCACAACCCAAGTCACACACCCCGGCCGTAAGGAGTCTTTCTGGGGCCCATGCACCGATGGCCCACACGTCGATGGGTTACCTATGGACCGCGTTGTAAGCCTTGTTAACCCAATCAGTCATTGCTAGACTAGAGTGATGATTACAGAACGATGTACTGGTTCCGTTAACGTCGAAGACTTTGTATTCGAGTGTCAGAGTTTTGCTTTGTGCACCTAAGCACAAGCACACATGCGTCTACAAGCCGACAAATGCAATGGCCTATAAGACTGTGTAATACTAAAGTGTTTTCCAGTCTCCAACACGGCCATTCGTCAATACGCTTTATCTGTAATTTGTAAATACTGATTGTGTCGCGATTAGTAAAACAGAGATTTTAATATGAGATTTTCGGAATGTGACCATCCGATATCTCATAGGTAGTGAAGCACACACACACACACACACTATATATATATATATATATATATATATAAACAATGTGCATGTAGCTTTTTCTAGTAGGTGTACATCGTTGAAATCTGTCTACGTTTCGTTTTGCCATGTATATCGTGGTATTGTCTTTGCACTCGTGAGGCCGAACACTTTCAAAGAGTACCTCGTTTTTTCACACTCAACATTTCACTGATCCGCATTAAGTTATTTTGATGGTTTTCATATCGAATACAGGTCGCTTCTGCCACGGCATCTCTCCGAGCAAGTCCACTTCCAGGCTGTGGCAACAGCAGCAATAGTGGTGGGGATTTGGTCGAGGAATCATTTCCAGCCGCCTTGGCTTCCACACCGGGTATGCGTGAAATGATACTTGATGATGTCACATCTCGTACCGGTTTGACAGCTCCGGTGTCGATGGGTGCTGGAATGACCGGAACATCGTGGGCTAACACACCTTCGAGTTGCACGTCTAATTCAACCACACCGAATACTGAACCGGGTAAACAACAAATAACCTTACCAACTCCACAGGAAACACCTCTTACTTCGACTCCCGTAACAGCTCCAACTGCAATCCCGGTGACTACAACAGGCGGAGCTCGAGGAGCTTCCTCGTCACCTCGGTTGCATACGAAAAGTGGGCCTCTTTCCACGCGAGCATTGAGCACTAGTTCTTTACCGTCCCGCTCACTGGAAACTACTGGTAGTGTTTCTGCGTCCACATCAGGTCGTAAGCGGGGCAGCAGTGTGGTGAGCACGGGCTACGTGGAATCTTCGGGACACAAATCTCATAACAAAGTGAGTCAAACCTCTCAATATGTGCTAATAGCAAAAAGTAGTTGTTATTGTCCCCAACCAGTCCATTGACTATGAGAAAATCACCGTCTTAGTCTTCGGGTCCTGTTTGCAGTCGATTGGGGATTTTTATTTCTCCATTTCACCTCTAGTTTTCATTTTGTTAATTTATCTCGTGTGATATTATTATTATATATTTTACACACATTTAACACCAGATCATGTGCCAAACAAATCATGGTATAATAATTAAAAAAAAATGTTCCTTACTTTGCATGTGGGCTGAATACTACCTGGTTGCCCAGGCCAAGGCAGGTGAATTTTCTTGAGGAATGTACAACCAGTTCCATCGGCTAACCAAAGCCTGACGCGCAAGGCCGCCTGGCGGTGTGTGAAAGCCGCAATCCGTTGGGGGCCGGTGTCCAGTTCATCGGATGATACGTCCTTTGGACGGGGTCAAACGTCCAAGGTGCCCAATACATCTCGATGCTCAATCGAGCTGGTGACCACAATCGCCACAATCTGGAAAGTGCGTGGGGTTCGTACGCCTCTTCTTGGTTTGTTTGGAATCAGGGTTTTGGCCGATTCCCTTAGGTGAACTATCAGTGGTCCACCAACCCGGTTATAGCTCCGGATGTCGGCTTTTCATCCTCTCACTTTGGTGGGAGAACACCTCAGCCTCGAGGGGGCAGTGAGCAGGTCTTCCTCAATAGAGGCTTTTGGTTATATGAGTGGTGGTGGTGCAGTGATTTAGTCGCTGTCACCGGTGTGCTTTGGACCCTGTAGTCCGATGTTCGAGCCCTGCCACGCGACTTTGGTGGTGGGCAGCTCTGCTGATGTGCGCTTCAGTACCAGGCCTCACCTATCAAGGCCTTATGTGGTTCACCAATCC